AACCGCTAGACGAAGACTCTCGCGGAACGGATTAATTTCGTCTTGCGAGGCACCACTGTACATGTTGGAAGCCACCCAGAATGACTGAAGCAACCTAGCCAGATGGGTGGGGTATTATTATTACAGTATTATTGAATAGGACGCCATGTTGGAGAGTATGCAGTTTTACCATGGCAAATGCAGCAATTTAATATATTTCTCTTTACTGCACTGACACTTTATTGATGATATTTGACTGACTGGGGTTTATTAATTATGACTAACCCAAGTGCCTTTAGCAGAAAAAGGAGTGAGCTATTTGTTTTTTAAAAAAACAAAAACAAAAACAAAACGCAGCAGTCACGAAGCCAGTAAGTATACGAGAAGCAAAAAGCCACAGAGAATCGCCAGCCTAATTGCTTTGTTTATTGACCAGCATGAGTACAACACAACCATGGCATCACCCAAGAATTGGGTGGCACTGCTCAGCCTCCTCCTATTCCTGATGGGAAGGAAATAGCCTTGAAGCTCATGATGCCTAGGACCAGAAGAAGAGCCCTACAGCAGCATCAGGCCAAAAGAGGCCTTACCACAGTGGCCAGCCAGATGGCTCCTCTGGAAAGCCCACAAGCAGGACTTGAACACAACTGCAGCAGCTCCCTCCAGGGGTGATTCACAGCAATTGGCATTCAGATGCTGCTCCTCAGTTGGAGCCAACAGTTCACTTTCCTTTGCCCTGTCTCCTGCTTCCAGCCAATCTTGCATAACTTGTGAAAGCAGAAGGAAGGCAAATCAAGAATGGAAACAGCCCTGAGCTAACCATCAAATCTGCATCACCACAACAAATCTGCAGCAATAGAGTGGGTATCTCTGGGATAATTACGATAGCAGGTATTTCACCAACAATGCACTCTGGAGAATGACCACCTGCCCCAAAAGCAAACACAGCCAGCCCAGTTAACCACAAACACTGTGGATTGCATGCGATGCTATTCCTACTCAAAGTAAACAATGCCCCTGACTAACACAGGCCCATTAATTTCAGTGGGTCTGCTTGAGTACAACTCAAGCCACATCATACATGTAAAACACTATGACACCACTTTAAAGTCATTCCCCAAAGAATTATGGGAGCTGCATTTTCTAAAGGGTGCTGAGAGTTGTTGGGAGACCCCCATTCCCCTCACAGAGTTCCCTGTGAAGAGGGATCAATTGTTAAACCACTTTGGGAACTGTTGCTTTCTGAAAGGAATAGGGGGTCTCCTAACACCTCTCAATACCCATAACAAACCACAGCCTCCATAATTGTTTGGAGGAAACCAGGACTGTTTAAAGTGGGCTTGTAGTGCTTTAAATGTATGGTGTGAATGGGGCAGTAGATAGGTGCTACCTCTATCTTTGAGAAAATACAGAAAGTGATGGAGTCAGCGGAATATGATGAGTTGGTCAAGGTAGCTCCCTCCCTCCCACCTCTCCACTTTTTGTCCTTGCAGAACCCAGCAGACAAATCTTCTCTTCCTTCCTTCACTTGCAACAAAGGCAACTTTAGAATAAATACACAGGAGAGAGCCAGGCCAACACATTCTTTTTCAAAGACTACAAAAGACTTGGTGGTGTTAGGGGGATGTGAGTAAAAACATGGTATCCACAAAATAGTGCTTGCAAAATAAACCATGCTGTATCAGGCAAGAGTGTGCCACACATGCAGGCAGACTAACAGACTGTCCAAACCTCATAGTGGCTGCATACACACCATACATTTAAGCTAGGCTTTTTTCAGCTGGAACTCACTGGAACTCAGTTCTGGCACTTCTCAGGTGGGCACCATTGCCATTCTAAGAGAACAAGGAAGGTGTACATGATGAGTTCCAGCACCTCTTTATCTAGAAAAATAGCACTGCATTTAAGGCACCTTTAAGGCACATCCTTTCCCCCAAGAATCATGGGAACTGTAATTTGTGATGAGAACTGTAGTTCTGGGAGGGGTAAACAACAGTTTCCTTGATTCTTTGGATGTATGGTGTGTAGTGTGCAGCCAGTTTGGTGCCCAATGACAGCCTGCAACATGGGATCCACTTTCTCATATTCACTGTTGAGTTATACTTAATAGAACATTATTAATCCTAAAATGACAATTCATCGAGCAATAGACATAGTGTTGCCTTAGGTTTGCTACTAAATGAAAATTGGTGATTTTTACACTTGTTCGTAGCTGAAAGACTGAGAAACTACTGAAAACCAGTAGTTTTTGTTTTTTTAAATGATGGCAAGCACTGCACAGCCAAGCTACCCAGAGCAGTAGACACTTCTGGGAGCAATCTAGAAAACCAAAGAAACAGACTAGAAAGTGAACAGAATGTCCCTGCTCCACAGAGAGCTTCCTTGCATACAGCTGGCCAAAAATATCTTTCTTACTGAAAAATGCTCTTGCCTCTCTCCTGCCGCTTTGCAGCACTCATGGAAATTGATCAAATGTGTGTGTCATCAGGAGAAGGCATTTTATCCAGGCACCGCATGTAATGCTTCTTTAGTTTGGTCAGCCTTAGCTGGAGTCTAATAAGGCAGCAACAGCTTTGCCACAACACACCTGGGATGACCTCATGATCCACCTGAGGGTCCCAACCTACTGGATGAAGGCAACAGAATGAGTTAAACTGACCCAAACATAATGTGAGGCTTAGCTCACGTGCTGGATGAGGGGAGGGGACAGAAACAGCTTTCTGCTGTGCACCCATCCACTCTGTCTCTCTGGACTGGGTTGCATCCAGGTTGGAAATTGTTTTAACTGATTTCAGTATTGCATGATATTATTGTAACCCACCATGGGACCCTATGGTGAAGGGTGTGACAATGACAGATTTACCTGTTCCAGTGCAAGGGTGGCACATTTAGTTATGAGGTGGATAATCCTTACCAGGAAGTCGCCAGGAGATGGGAATGTGCTGTATACATTCCATGCAGCTTAGCTGCAAGGAAGTGGGGAGACCATTAATTAAAAATTGGTCAAAGAATCGCTAGTGGCTGTACTTAATTAAGGACAGCATGTCGTGTGTGTGTGTGTGTGTGTGTGTGTGTGTGTGAGTGAGAGAGAGAGAGAGAGAGAGAGAGAGACTGACTGTACACCATGGAGGATGTTCCCAGGCAAGTCTGGGTTTCATGGACATATTGTACTGATTTCTCAGTCTACTCTGAGAGCTTTCTCAGTCATTTACCGACCGTTATTTGAAAAATTCACAACAGACGGCAAGATTCCACCCTGGGTTTGTTTGCTTCCAAATTTACATCCAAAAGGAGACTTGCAGCAGCAGCACTGGGCGAGTCCGCCTGTCCCCCTCCATTTCAGCAAAGGACAATGCCGAAGTGATGGTCACGTGCCTCACCAGAGCTGGGCGCCCTCCACACCAGCGCTGCTGCTGCAGGTCACATGAGGGCTGGTGTGCAAGAGAGCCAAGCAAGATGCTGTCATGAAATTGTGTGCACGCAATGAAGCGTGACTCCAGAGCCAGGCTGGGCCAACAAATGCAAGGAACATGCTCTTGGCTTTGCAGGAGTGATGGAACAGGGATGGAGAGAGGGAATTCGGGCTATAAAAAGAGACAAAGAGGATCAGCAGATGAAATTAAAAACCTGCCAGAAAGCAATCAACCAACAAAAGCCCATCTGAACAAGTGGAACATTTTCTATCTCTTCGCCAGAAGAGCTGGAAAGGTAGGGGTGAGAATGATAAAAGCTGAAGGTGTGGAAAGCAAGTGACAGACACTGGTGTGGTATGTGGAGTCTTATTGGCCAGCCCCAAAAGTCTAGCATGAAAGAAACTCTCTCTGGTGTTAAGAACTTAAGAAGAGCCTGGTGGATCAGGCCTGTGGCCCATGTAGTCCAGCACCCTGTTCTCACAGTGGCCAACCAGACTTCTGCAAGAAGCCCACATGCAGGATTCAAGCACAAAACCACTCTCCTCTCCTGTGGCTTCCAGCAACTGGCATTGGGAAGCATTACTGCCTCCAACTGTGGAGGCAGAGCCTAGCCATCATGGCCTATTCACTGTATCTCTGCAGTTCCTTGATGCTCCAGGGGCAAATGTTTGCCCTTCCAGCCACATAAGACAAGCATTCCTGATGGGCGAAATTCCTTTGGAGAAAACTCAGTGTTTTTTTCTCCCCGCCTCCCAACAGTTTGGGCTCCTATCTGAACTACTTGGCAGCCTAGTTGGAGAAGGGCCACAACTTCCTTTTGAAACTGGGCACAGCTTCAGTCTCCCTCCCTCCCTCCCTCCCTCCCATCCATCTGCCCCTTGGCACTTTCCCTTTTTTTGGAGCACACTACTGTTAAAAACAGAGGAATTAGGGTTGTTGTTTTTTTGTAAAAAACAAACCCTTCACTCATATGTTAAAACAGCTTTAAAGACTCTGACAAACTGACATTCATACTCATAACACACTTGCTGCCAAAGGGTGAGTCACCCACAGCTTATCAACCAACCTGTGGCAATTCCATCCCTGCAGTCAAACTCTGCAAATAGAGTGGTGCACCAAAGCGGCTCTGGAAATCCTCCTCCCTATTTGGAGGCAAAGACACATGGGGAAATGGGGTGTCCATTACACTGAATTTATCCAGGAGGCAGAAAAATTATCCAATAAGAACATGTGAAGCTGTCTTATTCCAAGTACAGTGGACGCTCGGGTTGCGAACGTGATCCGTGCGGGAAGCACGTTCGCAACCCACAGCGTTCGCAACCCACAGCACCACATCTGCGCACGTGCGAGTGGTGATTCAGTGCTTCTGTGTATGCGCAAAGTGCGATTTAGCACTTCTGCACATGCACAAGCGCTGAAACGTGGAAGTAACCCGTTTGGGTACTTCCAGGTTCGGCATTGTGCGGAACCCGAAATCACGCAACCCGACACTTCTGTAACCCGAAGTATGATTGTATAAGAACTTTGCCAAATCTAACTCAGTATTGGCTACACTGACTGGCAGCAGCTCTGCAGGGTTTCAGACTAGAATGAATTCCCAGCCCTACCTAGAGATGCTGGGGATTGAACCTAGGACCTTCTGCATGCAAAGCAGATGCTCCACCACTGAACAATGGTCCTTCTCCTTCTCTGGTTTCATTGTGGGGCTCTCTATTAGCAGTGGCAGCAGCAGAATATTCTTTTTTCTCCCCAAGCCTTATTTTTAGGGGAGGAAGGTGGCACTGCTACAATATTGAGCAGCAGCAATTGTGCTGGAAGCCTAGGCACCAGTCTGCATCCTTCACAAATACCCTGAATCTAACATTGTTCGGAGACTACTCAGAGAAAATTCTGCAAAGTGGCCTTCTTTTTCAAGGGGAGAAAAAACAAATTTCAGATGCTTTTTCGGGGGGGGGGGAGTCGTCTGAGAAATGTTGGCTCAGCTCTGTTTTGAGCCCCTCATTCATAGATCCTCAGCAGTGGGCATCATGGTAGCTTTCTCAAGGAATTAGAAAATGAAAGCCTGGAGTGGGTTGGGAGAGGAAACACGCTGAATCAGCTGGTGCATTTCCCACTAGGTATCCCTCCATCTATCTTGATCAAAATAAAGAACTCATGCGTTGGAATTCCAAATTACAACCTGGAAGGTTCAGGACAGACAAAAGGAGGTACTTCTTCACAGAGCACATAGTTAATTTGTGGAGTTTGCTCCTAGATGATGTAGTGAGGGCCGCCAACTTGTACACCTTTAAAAGAGGACTGGACAAATTCATGGAGGAGAAGGCCACAATGACTATGTTCTCCCTCCACTGTCAGAGGCAGTAAGGCTCTGAATACCAGTTGCTGGGAGTCACAAGTACTTTTAGTTCCTGCTTGCAGGCTTCCCATGGGCATTTGGTTGATCACTGTGAGAAAAGCCTGATGGACTAGATGGGTCCCCTTTGGCCTGGTCTAGCATTCAGGCTCTCCTTACGTTCTTATGAACTGAGAGCCAAACTTTAGACAATACTTTAGTTCTATTTCTATACACTTAAGTGCAGGGGGTTTAGATACAAATTGCCAGTGTGGGAAGGACGTAATCTGGATCATGAGTCTAGCATAGGGGTGAGTGGGGGGTAACTTCCTGCACCTCTTAACGCTGCTAGGGTCTCAGTCCACATCAGGGGAAATTTGCAGCAGCAATTTGCATGGATGGGGGTGAGGAGCTTCCATGAAGTAAATGGGAAGTTATTTTTCTATGCAGATTAATGGTGGGATCCACACTAGGGCCACACAGCAGAATTTATCCCACTATGCTTGGGTCCCAATATGCATTGAGCACACTGGTGATTTGAGTTCTTTTAAAAAAAGCCACCTTGCACTTAAGGGCACAGATACTAGGCTGATCCATCCACTAGTCTGGCTTTAGATTTAGAGAGAGGAGAAAGAATGTGGTGAGCCCTCAACCCCACAATAAATATTTGACACACTCCTGGAGAGGGCCATCACTAGTCATTCTGCTGCCTGAACTGCCACTCACTCCATTCTTCATGGCACAAAGCATCCAAGGCCGACCGCTTTATCTTCATACCTGAGATGGTACTGCTCTTTATCTCCTCAGCAGTTAAAACACAAAAATAAAAAATGAAATAGCTAACAACTTCCTGCTCTTTCATAACACCCAAAATCAGCTGCCTGAGACTGTGGCCTCACTAGTGGTTTCTAGCTGTATAGGTACAAAAGAATATGGAAAAATTGGCTTTTAATTTGTAAAAGTCTAATGTTACAATATATCAAGATTGAGGATTAGGATTAAAAAGGAGGGAAAGGAATTGTTGGATTAACAAATTGAATTGGAATACAAAAGAGGGAGGTATGAGGAGGTCAGGGAAACAAGGATATGAATGTAAGGCATGGAAAGATTGATCTATTTTTTTAAAAGTGTTTTTTATTCTTTTATTCTGTATTTGGTATTTTGTATTTTTCTTGTATTTTTATTTCTGTCTTTTGCTTTTACTATTCTTGTTTTTCATGTAACTCTTTTTTCTGAAATTTTAATAAATATCATTTTTTAAAAAATAAAAAATAAAAAAGAGACTGTGGCCTCACTTTGCCTGATGGTAGGGGCGGCTCCTAGCAGCGCTGGAGTGGGAGGATGCTTCTGCGAGTTGAAAATATAGAGAGAGAACTTGTAACCCTAGAACAATGAAAGAGCCAAGCAACCTTAAGTTGAAAGGAAACACACACTCACTTTATCACGAAATTAGCCTCAGTCATGGACAGACACTGACCGAAAAAAATCCAGACTCTTCACCGGGGCAGCCAAACTCCTGCATTCTGGAGGATGCTCAGTTCCCATCAACCCCAGCCAGATTGGCCACTGGTCAGAAATGATAAGAACTGGAATCTAGTAACATCTATAGGGCTACTCCGCTGCTCCACACCAAAAAGTTGAATTATACATCCTGAATATGTAAACATTTTTTGTTCTTCTGCTCCTGTGAGCCACACTGGAGCAGGGAGAGGTCGGATGCAGTCTACTGGCCTCCGCCAGCCAAGCTCAGTCCCAGTCTGGCTTCAGAAATTCCACCAGGCATTTCCCAATCATTCCCAGCCTTATCTCTGTGGCTGCTAAGCGCTAGAAGCTCCTTTCGAGATTCTCAGGATACTGGACCCAGCATCTGGTGCCAAATCTCACACTTGCATGATGCGATCCTGGCCACAGAGTCTCTTGGAAAAAATAGACGACTGTCCCACGATAGCGTTTGATGTAAACAGGCCCAATGTCTCCAAAAAAGCTCTTTATGGAGAGTCAAGCTCAATTTGGTTCAAAGCTTTTGCTTGCAGCCTAGGCCAGCTCTCAGGCTCTCTGGACTGTCTGCTTATTATATTCCTAATTGGCTCAGCCATCCTGCCTAGCAGTAAAAGCCACAAGCCCATAGTCTCAAATGAGCTAGCGTGGTCCAAAAAGCAACAGATTTCAGGGGGATTCCTGAACTCCTTTGTGAAAGGAGGCCGGGGAGGGGATGATGCCTTCAGTCCATAAATAAACATGACGCAAGACACATCACCAATCAAGTCTCCGAATCAACTGGCAACTTGCAGGGTGTCATAACATTTGTGCTGTAGCTACTGATGGTGCCAGCCTGGCTAGGCTCCCAAGCTGCACACACACCACTCAACCCACACTTGGGAGGTTTTGATTTACAGAAAAGGCAAGTGGGGACATGGCAGAGGCTTAAAAAATGATGATGCATGGTGTGGAGTAAGTTGATAGGGAGAGGTTTTTCTCCCTGTTTCATGATACTACAGCTCAAGGCCTTTTAATGGAACAGAATGTTGGAAGATTCTGGACAGACAAAAGCAGTGCTATTTTTCTAGAAAAAGAGGTGCCAGAGCTCACCATGAATGCCTCCCTTGCAGCCAGGACTGAAGGGCCATTAAGATTGGAAGTAGGTCCTGGAAACAAGCCAGGAGTTGAGACCAAATAGCAATCAGGAGCAGAGGGAAAACAAGTACAAGCTGGGGGTTAGGTCCACTGTGTTAGGCTAGCCAACATAATACACCAGTAGACCTTATTGCTTCACCAATGCTTTGCTTGGACAGGAAGTACTTTATACTCCTTCGAGTCCAGAGGGTGAGTAGCCAGTTTGGGTGGGTGGAGCCAGGCCAGATCTGGAAGGTTATTCCGTAAGAGGCTGTAGTTACCAGACTCACCACATGGGGCAGTGGTTGGCACTTGCTGACAGGAAGGGGAAAGCAATAAAGAACAGATACAGTGGTACCTCGGGTTAAGTACTTAATTCGTTCCAGAGGTCTGTTCTTAACCTGAAACCGTTCTTAACCTGAAGCACCACTTTAGCTAATGGGGCCTCCTGCTGCTGCCGGGCCACCGGAGCACGATTTCTATTCTCATCCTGAAGCAAAGTTCTTAACCCGAGGTACTATTTCTGGGTTCAGGTCTGTAACCTGAAGCGTCTGTAACCTGAGGTACCACTGTAGTGGGGAGACAGTGTGAATCATAAGTACTGGAAACATTTTCAGTTTGTTTTGGGGGGAAGGGGTGCAGGAGGAGAAACAGAGACCAATGTCTCTCCTCTCCACCCCCGCCCCCCAGCTCAATTTTCAGGAACAGGAGATTGCAAGTCATGTGAGGGCAAAACTCACTGGAGACCCTCCGAGTGTCCCGGTTTTCCAGGGACGTCCCTGATTTAGTGAAGTCGTCCCAGTTTCTGTTTTGATCCTGGAATGTCCCACTTTTCCTTGGGATGTCCCTATTTTCATTGGAGGGTATGGAGTGATCCAACCCCCAACCTGACTGAAGGCAATCCTGTATAGGGAAGTTTTCTTTTTAATGTTTAGTGTTTTATTATATTTTTATATATGCTGGAAGCTGCCCAGAGTGGTTGGGGCAACCTAGTAAGATGTGTGGGGTATAAATAGTAAAATTATCATTATGAAATGGGATGTCCCTATTTTCATGAGTTAAATGTTGGAGTATGTCACTGCAGCTTCCTGAGTGTTTCATGACAGTTGCCACTGGTATCCGCCACCTTCCTTTATCAACAGCCCCTAGGAGCCAAGCTTTGTATTGGCACCCCTCTTTATGAATTTTGCCCCACCAAAACCAGCCAAAATTCAACCAGCATGCATCTGGGGCTGTGAGAAAGGCATTTTCATTCAGCTCCACAGGTTTCTGCAGGGGATCAGGATGAGTTTATTGCTATTTATTTATCACATTGACACGCACAGGATTCTCCGATGCTTCCGCTAAGGCAGGTCAGGACTCGGCTCTTCCTCGAGAGCGGCTGCTGCGGGGAAGAGAAGGGGTGGGCTTTCGCAGGGAGGCAGATGAAACTGCTCAGAAGCCTTGGCTCAGAAAGGGCAGGTGATTCCCCCTAGAGAGTGAGCGGCTGTCACCAGTGGCTCCCTGCCAAACCCTGCACCTTTCTAGTCTGCATAGCAGCAAACATTCTAACGGCCTGTGGCTATAGATTTTCATTTGAACCTCTCCAGCGTGGGCCATTGTTTCCAATCACACCTGCTCTAAGCTCCTCCTGCCCGCAAGGCTCCCCTGGCGCGTTGGGGCCTGCAAAGATTTCAGCCGCTTGACACATGCCAAACCAAAGAAATGATAATTTTTAAAATCTATATTTTAAAA